GAAGGGAATTCCTTCATGTTGTCACAACACAAATCAATTAAGTTAACTTTATCGCTTATACAAATTTAAGTGGGTTGAACATAAAACAATTAAATTGTCTCCCAAAGAACCTTAAGAATTGTGCTGTTTCAACTAATTTTAAATAAGTTGTTTGAACAAGCAGCAAAAGTTATTTTTGAGTGTATATGACAAATGCAAAACGCAAAAAAAGAAGGAAAAATTATAAATATATTAAATATAAAATAAAATAAATATATTTGAAGGTGTTGCGGTGGCGCAGTGGGTAGCAAGATCGCCTTACAGCAAGAAAGTTGCTGATTTGAGCCTTGGCTGGGTCAGTTGGGATTTCTGTTTGGAGTTTGCATGTTCTCCATGTGTTTTGGTTTCCCCCAGAAGTCCATAAACATGTGGAGGTAAATTGGATAAGCAAAATTGTCCGTAGTGTATGTGTGTGAATGAGTGTGGATGTTTCCCAGCGATGGGTTGCAGCTGGAAGGGCATCCACTGTGTAAAACATATGCTGGATAAGTTGACAGATCATTTTGTTGTGGTGACCCCTGATTAATAAGCTGAAAAGAAAATGAATAAATGAATGAATACATATTTTTGGTATTTTGCATGTCAACCAGCTCTAAACTAACCACTTGCTCACCTCATACCACATCAGGTGACATGAGAGTCGATTAGCAACTGGCCTGATCTTTCTCTTCTGCATCTGACTGATGGTTCTGAATAGTTGTGCATCTGTCAGAGTCTCTCTGACAAGCGCTGGGCCTCCTTTTATCTGTATACAGCTGACAGCCTTGCCTTATGAATATTACTCATGCATCACAAAGCAGACATATTTTTTAAATGGTGGAATGGACAGCAGGAACACACAGTACCGAACAGCAGGAAAAATTATTCTGCCAATATTGGAAAGCATTCATGCTTTATCGATGTTAAGGCAAAGTCAGGTTTTCTTAAATAATTTTCCATGTTTCATTAGATAGGATAGGATACTAGTCAAAATAGAGGGAAAGATGACTGCAGCAATGCACAGAGACATCCTGAATGAAAACCTGCTTCAGAGTGCTCTTGACTTCAAACTGGCGTGACGGTTCATCTTCCAGAAGGACAATGACCCAAAACACACCGACAAAATATCAATGGAGTGGCTTCACAAGGATTCTGTGAATGTCCTTGAGTGGCCCAGCCAGAGCTCAAACCTAAATCCTATTGAAAACCTCTGGAGAGATCTGAAAATGGCTGTAGACCGTCACTTCCCATCTAACCTGATAGAGCTTGAGAGGTACTGCAAAGAGGAATGGGCAAAAATTCCCAAAGACAGGTGTGCCAAGCTTGTGGCGTCTTATTCTAAAAGACTTGAGGCTGTAATTCCTGCCAAAGTTGAATCAACAAAGTATTGAGCAAAGGCTGTGAATACTAATAAACTTGTGATTTTACAGGTTTTTTTATTTTTAATAAATTTTATTTTTTTACATTGTCATTATGGGGTATTGTGTGTAGAATTTTGAGGAAATAAATTAATTTAATCCATTTTGAAATAAGGCTGTAATATAAAAAATGTGGAAAAAGTGAAGCGCTATGAAAACTTTCCAGATACACTGTTCATGTAATAGCTGCTATAGTATTTTTTTATGTAAGTACTGTATTTAAGATCAGTTTTGAATATTCAAGCATACTGGCAAGCCATTTATCATTTCCGCAGATCTAATGAAGCCGTTTGATAGAAGAAGAGAGTGTTTTTTAAGAAAAGAGAAAGTACAGGCTGCACGTAGATGCACACATACTGACCCTGAGGTCATGGGTAACTGCCATGAGTCACTCGGAGGGCGGGTGTAATTATGCCAGTTTTTCTCTTTGCCTGATAGTGAGAACAGAAGCCTATTGCTTTCTTCATCACCCTAACCATCCCTGACTGAAAGGAACGAGAACGTAGAAGAAAAACAGCCACTAAATGGCACAGGAACAGAAGGGGTCGTTAATGCCTCTGGCCTGCTACTCTAATCATTATTTTAATGGTGGCATTAGTTCCACGCCTGTGATCTGCTTTCACAGGAAACAATGGCCTCTTCTGCACCCCTGCTTACTTTAAAAAGAGCCTGGAACAAAAACGGTGGTCCGGGGCCCGTGGAGGAGACTGACAGGTGAAAAGAGCGGTGCATGGGGAAAGGTGAGAATAAGATCACCATGTCCAGCCAAAATTTTTTTCCCATTTATAATAGGATCTCTTTAAACTTCACCTGACTGACTTACACTCATTTTCCTGCAAAACAAGCCAAAGTTCTGTTACTCGTGCAGTCTTAAAAATAAAACATCCAACCTTTAAAGTCACTTTAAAGTTTTTGAAGTTTTTGAACATTTCTTTGGAAAACCATCTGTGTGGTGCTTTAAAGAATTCAGGTTTTTTTTTTACCAACACAAGTAAAAATAAATGATAAAAGGTGCTGCTGAAGTATTTTGTTATTTATTTATTTATTTATTTAGATTGTGGGGTTCAAACTTTTGAATTTTTAGTTCAACACCATTAAAAAATGTTTTTGCAACTTATTTAAAATGAGCTAAAACATCAAAATTATTGATTTTTTTTGGGACAACTTAATTGTTTTATTTTTATTTATTTATTTTTATTTTTGTATTCTTCAAGTTTTGTTTTGTACAAAATCAACTAAAACTAAAAACTAAACAAAAATGTATGAAAAATAAAGACATTTAAAAAATACAAAATTGCAACAAAATGGCTAAAAATTATTAAGTTTAATTGAAAACAATAGTTTGTCCATATTTTACTTAACATTGGGTTACAACAACCAAACATTTTGTACTGTACACTCAAAAAATTATTTAAAAACAGTTCAATTAACTGAACTGGTTTGTGTTGGGGCGACATGAAGCAATTGTGTGTACCCCAGCATTTTTTACAGTGAACCCTTAAGTGAAATTCAAACTATTCTTATTCAGGCTGGCCGTGGCTCACTAAATTGTAGGCCTGAAAAAGTCTTAAATTGACTGAACTGTTGTGTTGTAGGTCTTAAATTATTTTTAACAGGTCTTAATTTAGCTTTGTCCAAGTAAAAGCTACTCAGGTCAACATCCATCCCATCTCCAACAATACATCTCAATAAAATTAAAAAGAGATTTTTAATCTCAATCTGTCTTTCCTGGTAAAATAAAGGTTATAATAATAATAATAATAAATCTTATTTTTTTACATTTAAGTTTTTTTATTACAAAGAGATATTCTATTCACAAAAGGAGTTAGACAATATTACAACAAATTCCCCATTAAATCCCCTAATTAGGGAAAGATAACTAAAGACAATTACTGTATATGATTGCTCATTATAATACCAGGTTATTAAAAAATGATTATTGTTTAACCCTGTATAAGTCTAAAATGTCGTTCTTTATAGTCTTAAAAGGGTCTCAAAAAGTCTTTAATTTGACTTGATAAAATCGGCAGAAACCCTGTCATTTTATAATCTGTAATGAAAACGTTTAATGCAACCCCATGTCTATTTTTTTTTCTAGACATTCGTGCCCAGTTGCATGTTTTAAACACATGCACATTTATCCCACAAGCATCAGTAATGATATCAACCGCAACAAACAGCCTGTATTTTAAACAGCTCAGTGTAAAAGTGAGTAAAAGTTTCTGAAATCAGTTTGTTTAATATGTCTGCCAAGCTAAACCACTGGACGTCTTTAAAAATAAAGAGCAGACATTTACAAATTACATAATAAGGACAAAGCAGCGATTCCTGTATGTATCCCAGTGTGTGAAGACTTTTTTAGTCTTATGAGATGATGTCTTGTAACACAATTTCAAATTACTCACCAGGTTTTCTTTATAATATTGCTATTTAGTACGTTTGTCTATAGTAACTGTGTAGATCCTGGTTCTACATTTATTAGCCCTGCCAGTGATCATTGGTATTATGTGTTTGTATTACTTTGTCATGTACCAGAAGAAAACAATAAAAAAAACAAATAAAAAATCAAATAAAAGGCAGAAGACCTTTTTTGAGTTACCTCCATAAACTCCATAAACTAAATGGTTTAGTTATGGCGTGGGGGTTATGAAGGTTAATTAAAGCTGAAATTGTTCAATAAACCACAAAACTGTAGCTGAACCTGATCTTGAGAGCTGTGCGTCTTTCTTTAGATCTAAATTACGCTTGTAAAATTCAGAAGTGGTGGGGGGAACGCAAATGAAAACCCTTCTTGATACATACGAAAATGTTCAGACATGTTGGTCTTGATAATGAAGGTGTTTTGCTTGGCAGTCTACTTTAACACATAAACAAGCTCTGAAGATATACTTCAAGCGTCTACTTATTCACTTCTGTGATTATTTGCAGTTTTATTAATATAATACACAAAAGTCATTCATTTAGACTCAAACATAGGTATGCTTTGGATTTATAATACTGATTTTGTGAGATTGGACAAATGTAGCTGCTCAAAAAAATGATAGCAAAGTTTAAAGTTTCATCATGATCCGCTGAAGAAAGGAATTTCGAGATTGATCAAGATAGTTTTGTTCCATTAAAGGTACTTCAAAGCAGAATACTTATATTTATTTTTTTTAAAAAGCACATTTTTGAATGTCGCACTTAATTAATTCACCCGATTTATATCATCACCTCATTATTGGAGGCTCAAAGAGTTGAATTGGGTGTGTCAGATAAGAGAGACAGTTAAAATGACCTGGACTATTATTGAAAACCTCCGCTTTAAAGCACCAGATCGTTTTCTAAAGAACCAGGGGATGAAAAGCTCTTTGTATGACTTGGAAAGCTTATTTAGTGGCATCACAATATAAAACCGTTTTGGTACTGATGGGAATCTTTATGATTAAAAATGCGAAAGTTCTTTAATGACGAATAGTTATACAGTGTCTCTTGCTTAGTATCTCCAATAGCATCCTGAAGAATTTCAAACCATTTGCTTTATTTAGAAAGAGAAAGAGAAGGTTAAAATACTCAATAACTAACCTTGCATGAGAAATACCATCCAGATTGTCCTCAGCAGGTGAATAAGTCTCTCCCCAGCCATGATCGGGGACTTCCCAAATCAATTTAAAGATAAATCTAGGCTTCAAAAGAAAGATCTGGAAATTCTTGTCTATATTCTCCAGGACGGTCACATCAATGAGAGCATTCCAGATGAGATTTTACCACTTGTGCAGATCAGTGTAATCCACTTTTGATCAGTTTCATCTTCAAGCATGAAGTTTTCCATTCACGGTAAAACTCCTTGACCGACTTTCCAAGATCTCCTTTCTTGATGGTGCTTGAAAGTCCGTCCCTTGTTGATTGTCTGCTCTCTCTGGTGATGTTAAACCTGTGTGGTGCTTGTTAGAGTCTGTCTTTGGGTTACTCAGCTGAGAGAGTGAGCGAGAGTCTTGTGAGAGGGAGGGAAAGAGAGAGAGAGAGAAAGAGGAGGGAACTTGTAACCTCCCAGCATTAACCCTCTGGGGAGCACTCTGGGTAAGGTGCAAAAGGGCACAATCAAAGCCAGCAAGTTGGGAAACCTGCCCACAACATTAGATTCAACATAAATGTGCTAATCAAATACACACGCTCGCATATGTAAACACAGTTTGACAGATGCAAAGTAAGCACACGGTTTTCTGCATAAACTTTGTAATTCTTTAAATCCTTTCTCCATTTACCTCATACAAACATGCAGTATGTGCTTAGTAGGTGTTAAAAAGCAATGGCGCTTTGCCATCTTTGAAAAACTTTTTTTATTTTTTTATTTGCCATTTTATGTATGTTGACATTCAAACTCGACTTTGCCGGTCGCTATGGTTTACAGTAGAGATAACAGACGAAATAAATCGGTTAATATATGACATATGACTCTAGATAGCATTAAAACATCAGCTCTAAATCCTAGAAAATGTCCTATATAAAGAAATTAACTGGATTTAATGCATGTGAGGTTTCTAAGTAGTAGTTTAGCCAGACATTTATGGTGTTTAATGTGTTGGGAGAACGTTGTGAAACGGTGCTTTTCATATTTCAGTGCTGCGTCGAGTATGGATTGAAAAGTTAATGACCTGCGTGATTTAGATTCTACAAATTCAAGTGTTAGCTAATATGTTTAGATACAGAAATGCATGGGACTTTTCAACACAATCTGACAGAAATTCATAACTTTTTGATTTAGTGGCTAATTCATATGGATTCGAACAATCTCATTCGTACAATTTAGTATGATTTGCTTATTCGCCAATGAGGGTTGGGTTTAGGGGTAGGGTTGGGTGTCATGCCTCCTTTTTTAAAATCGTACGTTTTCGTACGACTAAATTTGTATTCGAATTATTACAGAAAATGTCTTCTATATTAAAAAAATTAAATGGATTTAATGCTTGTGAGGTTTCTAAGTAGTAGTTAAGCCAGACATTTATGGTGTTTAATGTGTTGTGAGAATGTTTTGAAATGCTGCTTTATATTTCAGTGCTGCGTCGAGTATGGATTGAAAAGTTAATAAACTGCGTGATTTAGATTCTACAAATTCAAGTGTTATCTAATATGTTTAGATACAGAAATGCATGGGAGTTTTCAACACAATCTGACTGAAATTCTTAACTTTTTGATTTTGTGGCTGCATAGTCCATGGTGTATGTGTGTGAATGAGTGTGTATGAATGTTTCCCAGTGATGGGTTGCAGCTGGAAGGGCATCCGCTGCATAAAACATATGCTGGATAAGTTGGCGGTTCATTCCGCTGTGGCGACCCCAGAATAATAGAGACTAAGCCAAAAAGAAAATGAATTAATGAAATTCAAGTGTTATCTTAATTGATTAGATATAGAAATGCTTTGGAGTTTTCAACACAATCTCACGGCAATTTGTAACTTTTTGATTTATTGGCTAATTTGTATGAATTTGTTGGATCTTATTCATACAATTTAGTATGATTTGCTTATCCCCCAGTGACGAATGGGTTTAGAGGTGGGGTTGGATGCCACGCTTACTTTTTAAAATCGTACGACTGAACTCATACGAATTGGCCACTAAAGCGTAGTGACAAAACGTAAAATAGTTAGAGCTTTTTATGTGCATCTGTAAGCCACAAAACCTTTTTTCTCATATGTTGGCGTGCAAAATCTCATTAACGCTATATTTTGAATCTGAATTCTTGTTAAACCTCTGTGATATCATTTTTTTGGCTGCAGCCTCAGTACTGTTTGCGTCGATCAGTCATTCATTTAGCAATGTGTTTGTTGCAGTTAAGAAGTGACGAGTGAGAACAGAGTTGGACTGCGGACGTAACCCTGAGGAACGCCAGACCATGTTGCTGAGTTTCACCACTTGTGGTTTGGTGCGATGATAAAATCCAATGTCTAATTGCCAGGCAAGCTGCACAAACTCACTGCTTCACTCTTCAAGAGTTTATTTGAGGAAATAACAGCTGAATTTTCAGAACTGAAGGTAACGGTCAGTACAGTTCATGTTCCATCAGGATCACTGTGGTTTGGCTTGTAATGAGAGATGGCATGAACTCACAGTTTATTGTTATTTCAGTGTTTTGCTCAAACAAATCTGAATAGTTAAATTTGATCAGATATGTTTTTCTGTTCTACCTTATTATGCCAGATCATATTAAAAACCTATCGTGTTTTTAAAACACACAGATATGCATACAGCACAGTTTTTAAGCATAACCTCAACATTTTTATTTGTTTTTAGCCATTCATTTACATGACAACTTTATTTCGGGGGCCTGAAAATCAAAAAAGAAGTTGAAAAGGTTTCAAAGTGAAAGCTTTAAAAAAATCTACCATTTAAACAAAACAGTGTGATTAGCTGCATCTGAAATCACATACTTCCATACTATATAGTACACTAAAATCAGTATGTCCAAATTTATAGAATTCGAAAAACCATAGGCGAAAAGCACACGCATAACCTACTACTTCTGGCGTGCTTCTGAAATGTGCATTGGATGGATGCTATGCTATCTCATGATGCACCGTGAGAGAATTCATGAACGAGAGTAAAGTGACGCAACTGATCACGTGTAGGTCACGTGATCATTACAAGATAGCAGATGTAGTACGTCCCGAGTTCCATTCATACTACTCACATTCGTACTGTATAAACATACTTTTCTAACAGCTGAATGACATGTTTACTGCCTAATCTTGGCTAGGACACTCTTGTAAAAGAGATTTTTAATTTCAGTGTGCTTTCCTGGTAAAATAAAGGTTATAATAATAATAATAATAGTTTGAATTAAATTCAAATCCAGTACCTACTGAGTACTAGGCGATTTTGGACAGCTATTGTCTTTAGGCATGCACAAGTACTTTAATACTAATTGTACTTCATTTGTGTACATGTGCAGGCGCGTCTTTACAAAGTTACTACTGGCCTGTTATATGTTGTACTGTTATACTACTGGCCTGTTATATGTTGTACTGGTATACTACTGGCCTGTTATATGTTGTACTGTTATACTACTGGCCTGGAGTATGTTGTCGTTCCTTTTCGCGCTTACTAGTTAACCACTTACCTCCATGTGGACAGGTTTCACTCTGTTACCAGTTTTTCCAGTAGCTCGCCATGCACATCAGAGGATTTGAGACGCAGAACAGAGTTGACTGTGATGATGGAGTTTGAGTCCAGTGAAGAACGATTCTTAAAAGCAGCTCAAACAAAAACAAAAGCCAAAAAACAAACAAACATGTAAATAACAGGGTGAGATTGTGGTGGTCTTTTTCTGGATTGCTTTTGAAAACACTATCGGTTGGGTTTAGGGAAGGGGGTGGGTGCTCCTTAATCGGTTCTTTTTAAAACAATATCGGTTGGGTTTAGGGAAGGGGGGGGGGGGGTTGATCGATCGATTGGTCAGTCAGTTAATTAGTTGACAGCGGCCTCTGGTGGATTTATGCGAGAACAGCAAGTGTGAATGGCACTTGCGAGAGAAATTTATGATCTCAAAAAGCGTACACAGCGGCCTCTGGTGGAAACGTGGCTCCTGCGACATATTGGGTGTCTTCAGAAATGTATATAAGCGTACATATACAGAATAAGCCTGGGTTGGACAAACCTGTTTAAAGACTATCATTATAATTTTTTCATTTTGTTTTATTTTTGTTTGTTAACATAAAAATAACATGTAACATGACCATTCAATACATCAGAAATAATGTGTTGTCGACTGAATTTAAAACCGGATAAATCCAATTTCAATTGGCAATTTATAGTAAGAACAATTATGGATCCTTCCAAACTCAAATTGGTCCCTTTTAAGTCCCCTTTTGAGTAATTTGTGACACAAAATAATGCAAAAGTATTTTCCAAAGAAAAAAATGTTGGTACCCTACTTGCTTAATCCTATTAAAGCTTTCCTTCATGGCATAAACACCTTGAAGTAATTAGTGCATAGGGATAAGCCCTCCATAATGGAACGCAGCCATTTTTTAGCTCATATGTAAGAAGAAGAGAAGCTTTACATCATATTCCCAAGACATGATTACAGTGCCCCCAACAGGACCTAATGAGTTTCAACACACACACATGAACGTATTCCCTCACTTTTTGCTCTCTTTTCCCTTCATGTTGCTCTCCATATAATGGCGACAGCTTCAAAACCCAACACACCCATGCACCCAAAACCGCAAACGTCTCTCTAATCAAAACCTTTCTGTCTCACTGCCTTCTTTGTCACACACTCTTGCGTACAGATTCGATGTCATTGAGGTGCAAAGCCTCTTTTGGAAAACCACCACCCATTTCATTCTTGATTCCCCCCTCTTTCTCGTTCCCCCCGAGGCCTGTGCAATCAGTCATCTGTTTGATCATGTGGAGATGTGGCTTTAGTGTGTGTGCGTAATTCTCTCTTGGTGCTTTAAGATATAAAAGAGAGTATCCCCCTCCCGATCTTCGCTTCCTCAGTTTAAACCAGAGAAACCAAACCAGTGAAGGCTTACACATGGCGGGCTTCCAAACAGCAGGAGGTCCAGGTGGGCGAGAAGGGGGTCTGGCAACGGGACAGAAAAGCAAAATCATGCCCCTGTGCATATGATAAGATCCGCGCTCTAATCATCACACATTCGCATCCCTGCTTGCTATCGGGCATCTGGGTGACTGCAAATGCACACTCAAACAAACTTACATACGCACACTGATAGGGTTGCCAGGTGTCCCTTATATACAGTGTTTTTTACTAGTTTCTAAAGTATTTAGACACAAAAAGGCAGTGTGTTAAAAGTCATATTCGCATTAGATGAAGAGTCAAATGTGTTGCCTAAGGAAATCTGTTTCATTTTGCAACGGGTTGTCTCGTGGGAGTCGTCAACTTGCAACAAATGCTTCTCATTTTATCTTGGTAATCGGCCTGATATTTGACACTTTTGCATGTGGAGTAAATTAATCGTGGCATTACTACAA